CCCCCCCCCCCCGGAATTTTCGAATTTTAGGTGAAAATTTCCATTTGTCAGACATTTACTCATTTTCAGTAGAGGAACATGGTAAATTTCGGCACCCAAAGCATCCTAAAATGATTATTTTTGTAGAGCATCCACTTCAAAATAGTTGGTGGCAAATAGTGAAGAGAAACTTCAAATGCGGTTTTCTCTTCAATTTTTTAAAATTATTTTGGAACAATGTATCTCTGGAATGTCCAGGGATACCCTTATGGGAATTCCATATTCAGATTTGATGCGTGATTTCAAATATGGCCATACAGGGGTGCTTAGATCGGAATGTACATGGTACAAATAAAACTTATATATGGTAGACTGTATTTGAAAGCCGTTCAGACCATATCATGTTTTGAAAATTCCTAATGAGTATGGAACTATACATGGTTCAGATTTAAGATATGGTGCTTTGTTGCGATGTATATTATACATATAACAATTTCATGAGGGAATTATTTTTTAAATCTAGGCGACCCATGGAAGACTTCCACGAACTCTTCGGCAAGAAATCCCGAGTTCACTTGGCGGCCCTAAATCTTGTGGCCCTCTCATCGCTATAGGCAACAGCCCCTCTTTTCCATTCTTTACGCGCCCCCACGTGCAACCCTTGGAGTCCCCTTTGATCCCGTTGAAGGGAGGATGACTTCCTCGCCGGGGTGAGATCTTCGCCCTCACATTTACAGCCACTTTTTCCTATCGGTCAAAACCCTGTCCGTTTACCCTGTAAGTAAAGATCATCTCCATCACCTTGCGTGCAAGCTTATGAGTGAAATATGCAGATAAACAAGTTTCAATTAAGGTTTGAATATTTCAATTGGTCATATGGTAATTGTTTGATTCTTGTTTGGTCGCCTCAGGATTTTGTCCTACCTCTTTAACATCTTTAACGTTTAACGTTAACCGGCGGCATCCTTGCGATGCAATAAGAATAAGCCATCCTGTTCTGTGGTACCCTCATGGGATCCCGCCGCTTTCGCCCTCTGGAGCTACTTCCCCTTCGCACGGAGGAAAACGGGACTCCAAGTGTTGCGTCTGGGTTTTCCCGCGTGAAAGCTCATATCGAGGGGTGAACATCCCTTAGTTATGGGCGGGGGGGGGGGGGGCGCAAGTCGTTCAATGACTCTCTCTCCTATTCTCAAGAACGGATCCGACTGTTGCGAAGGCCGGATAGAAAGTGCGAGCGTGAGACGGGCACCCAAATACGCGGATGTCTTCCACGAACTGTGTCTCTGGAATTTCCGAGCTCAGGCAGTAGCCCTGAAACTCAACGACCCTCTCAATGATATAAAACTGCAGCACCTCCATATCTTTCTCGAGAATGACCTGTAGAAGACTTCCACAAACTTCGGGTCGGTCAAGGCCAGGAGTGTCAAACTGTCAGCCAACTACTTCATTTCGTCCGGCATGCCAAGTTCTCTTCAATAGTTGCTTTAAGAAAAGTATAGATTTTTTCAACCCTGTTAGTAATTGAAAATTTGGTGCAACATTTCCTAATGTGGACCCAACCACTCCTAAAGGATTCCATGCCAGCAAAAACAAGTTTGAGATTTCTAGTCAAGGCTAAGCGTGTCATTTTTGCTAGCGTCCCAGCAAGCTAGCTAAGCCCCAGCATCTGATTTTAAGGCTTAGCTTCTAAGCGTCCTCATAGTTCACTATGTTTCGCTCCCAGCTGCTCGCCCAGTAGTGATGTTGCTCAATGACGTGGTCGTGGCTAGCCAACGCGTCTTTTTCGCCGACAACTGCTAGGGGTTGGAGAAAAAGACTCGCCCATGTAATCAGGGACGCCAAAAGGAATTCAGACCTGGGGTCTCAATTCCTTTTGGTGACCAATTCCAATTTCCAATATTCACGTAAGAGCCCTCTTTACTCCAACACCCCTCCTCCCCGCTTCAGCATACTCAGTCAAATCTTTATTGCTAACGAACGCTACGCTACTAAACACATATACGTATAGCATCCGGTGTAGGGGGCCCCCCCAGGCAAGAGACACGGGGCATACTGCCCCATTTGCCCCCCATCGCTCTACGGTCGCGAACATTGTCGGGGATCCACGAGTTCAGTCAGCACTTTAACGATCAATGCGGCAGTCGCTCTCTCTCCCGTTATCGAGGATGAATCCAACAATCGCGAAGACTCAAAAGAAACTGGTAAGTCAAGAGCGAAATGGAGACCCCAACCCGTGGAAGACATCCACGAACTCCGGGTCTACCTAGGCTAAGCGTGTAACATTTTCGGATATTCACGAGTTCAGTCGGCGGCCCTATCAAAGTTCTACGCAGCAGCCGCTAGGAATTCGTTCGTCTTGATCATCTGTAGGCATGGATACGGAATTTTAATTAATGGCACTCGTATCTAGTGTCGATTGCGACCCTGTGCGTATCATCCGTAAAGTCCATCTCCACCATCATTCATGAAGGCCTGTGAATGAAAAACACGGAAGAGAGAATCAGGCCAAAAAGGAGCAATTCCGAGATAAAAACGGAAAAATTCTACTTCAAAACTTTTCATTTCTGTGAATCTGTATTTGTTTCTGATGTTCTCCTGCATCCAAGCCTAGCGCGGTTGAGCTCCAGGACCCTTCATATTATACATATTGCTGTTTGAAGTAATGAATTGCACCCAAAATGTCCCACCCGCAACGAAAGTTACAGGTGAGACAAACATTGCATATGTTTAAAATTGGATTATTATTGGATTATAACAATTTAAAATTTTTTTAATATTGCATTATCATATACATGTTGCATATCTATAGAAAGCTCCTTTTAAGAAACTGCATTTGATCCCTTATTTAAGGTTGTTTAACACTCAATACCGTTTCCTCAAGGGTGAAACGTCCGATGCGTTGTTGAACGCCTGAACCTCCGCCAACCTGGTTTGCTGGGTGCAGTCTAGGTGGAAGGTGAACATCACGGATGTGTTGATTCAGGTTGAAGTGATGACGGAATGGTCCACGGTTGCAATGAGGACAATATTCCGCTCGGTTCTGAAATATCAGGAAAATATAGGAATACTTTTTTTCCCTTCTTTCTCTTTAATGCGAAACAGAGATAGAGCGTCTTACCGTTTCATCAGGAGGAATTTCGTCAAGATAGATGAACTTTTTGTCGTTGATTTGCTCTGCAAAACTCGTGGATGGTTCAGGAGAGGTGAGTCGTCTATTGGCAGGTGGCGAATCATTGCTGTTCTGCTCTTCTTTATTTTGTCTATGGCAATCACGACATCCGACAGGACTCGTTGACGTATTTGTCACCGTCGATGGCTGAAACATATGTAGGGACTGGTTGCATTTTCACAGACAAGGCAAAAATAAACAAATGCGCCATCGCGTATCTGGACGTTCTCGCATCGTCTATCTTCGAATCATCAGCATGAGCTGTCGGAGTCCCTGTGTGGTGGATACCATGTACGGCAACCTCGAGAGGAACTCCTTGATTGTGCAGCGTCACATCTAACGGTGCGGGTGCACGAAACAGGCATAAACTGGAGTGATTTTGTTGGTTGTATTTTCGAGAGAAGCGTTTTCCACAATGTGGACATGTTTAGACAGGACGCTCTTCCTACAATACCATCATCCTCATCACGATCACTATCGTAATCATATCCAAGATGAATTATTACATAGAATAGGATGCAACCTATGTCGTACCTGGTTGAGGTGTGTGCGTCGATGACGGTCTCGATCTCCTTTCTTGCTAAATCGCCGCCCACACTCAGCACATGGCCATTGCTTGCGATCCATTATTTGCATGCACAGTCGCATGCACAGAGAGGGAGTGAGAAGGGGGAAAAACAGGAGAGATGAGGGTGTCTGGTCTCCCTTCTATTCTCTCATGTCACCAGCTCTTACTGACTTTCCTCCCTCACGCACACACCTGTTAAATTACTTCTTTCGAGGGAATGCTCTCTGCTAGCGCTTGTTTGCTTGCTCTATGCCACGACTCCGTGCTGCTCATCTACACAGTAATTAAAAAGATCATGTCTTCCCTGAAAAACGTTTTTCCTTCAACTACTTTCTAATGATCTTTCCCAAATACTTCACTACTAAAACCACGTCGTCAATCACGCTTTCCACCACTTTGCAGGACTTCGAACAAGATACTTTGTGTGCAAAATGTCTCTTGGTTTCAGGAACCTCGAGATAGTTTATTTTGCGATAAGATTCTGCGATCAGTGAAAGAGGTGTTTTCGAGGTTTCGACGGGACTGAAGCTTCCTGCAAGGGCGAAAACAACATAAAGTGTGTAGGATGTTTGCAGAGAACAGCAGGACGATGTATACACGTGGGTTATGGATGTCAGCACGATAACCAGCCTTTCGGCGATTCATTTCCTTCCTTTCACGTTTCAGTGAAAGGAAAAGGACTTTCAAGAGATGTGCTTTATTAACAAGAGTAAGCATGAAACAAAGTGTGTCGCATATACAGATAAACATAAAAATCGGTCCGAGATGGTGTATGTTTGCAGCAGTGGAGGGCGATCGACAACACTGGTTTATTTCTCCCCTCCTTGCTCGACTGCTCCTGAGGAATGGTGGGAATCCTCGCCTTCGTCAACGATCAGCGCAGAAGAAGCGTCTGTAGGCGAGGAAATGAATCAATAAAGAGTTCATTCGTTACCTGATGAAAAATGAGAGACACGAACTTACCCGATTTGAAGGAACTCGTTGGAGATCGTCTGTTTAGAGCGTCGATCATCTCCTTTCCTTTTTTCCGTGGTAACGTCGTCAGAATTGAGGGAATTCTCGCATGGGAGATCAATGACGATATGTCCTCTAATCAATGCGCAGTTGGGGGAAAATTTACGGTGTTCCTCGTACGGATTGTCTCCGTATTTCCAGTTGTGAATAATCAAACGACAAAAAATACAAGCTGTCTCATCGCGGATCCCGGTATAATTTAGACCCCATCTTGCCATTTCATCAGTAGATACAATGTATCTTTTCGGGGAGAACTCAAACGAGCAGAGTCGCTTGGCATTAGAAAGCATCTTCTTCCGGTTTGGGTTGAAATCTTCATCGTCAGATGGATAACCCTTGCTCAGAGCACGAGATGAAAATTCCACATTCGAAAGACATTTGCCAGTCAACAGGGGGCACAGCCAATTCATTTCCTTGTGACATTTGTAGACACTTGGTGGAGTGGAATATGCTTCGTAGCCAGGAGGTAAGTGACGATGTCGCAGACGAATGGTTTCACTCGATTCGCTGGTGATGAAGAAGGTCTTCAAACTGCATTTCCCTCGGCAAAATGCGCAGCATACGATGAGCTTTGATAATTCTTCCAAGTTGTCGTGTAACTTCGATGCGATCTTTGGATCGACGTCCAGATAGAATCCCCACCTGACGAGCTCGTCCACATCCACGTAACCAGCTATTGCAGAAACACAGTAGAAAGTCTTCCTGCGTTTGTTCTCAGTGAACAACGCGAGAACGAAATTATTGTTGGGCTTGGCAAGCGCAGCGTCAGTGCTATCACCTTCCATCTTTTCAAGTGAATGATAGCGATACGATACCCGATGCTTGTATATTTTCTTTCACAACATACTCACTGCTTCCCTCCGCGACACAGAATCCTTGACCGTCAGAGGCCGAGGCTGTAAAAGCAGAAGAGCGTGACGGAAGAAACCACCACAATCATTACTCATAGGAGAAATAAAAAGCAGTGTCCTCAATCGACTCAACCACTGCATATGTATACCAACTCGGATCGGTTTAAATATATATGTTCATATGTATATACGACACACTTTGATTCATGCTTAATCTTGTTAATAAAGCATTTCACTTGAAAATCTATTTCGTTTCATTGAAAGAGAAAAAGAAATGATTCATCAAAAGAATGTCTATCGAGCAGACACGAAGAGCCATGTGAATTAATATTTAGCAGCAAATCATTATTAAAATAAGCAGGGTTTCACCTCTCGTTAATACAACAGGGTTTTCACTTCATCCTAACATGTGTAGAAAATTTCAGGCTTAAATACATTTCTCAGACGGATTGCTGATGCGAGACGGCACGGAGGCATCGAGCGCTAGCAGAGAGCATTCCCTGGAAAGAAGTAATTTAACACGTGTGTGCGTGAGGGGGGAAAGTTAGTGACAGCTGTTGAAATGAGAGAATAGAAGGGAGACCAGACACCCTCATCTTTCCTGTTTTTCCCCTTCTCACTCCCTCTCTTCCGTTCGCGCGAGTGTGCATGCAAATAATGGATCGCAAGCAATGGCCATGTGCTGAGTGCGGGCGGCGATTTAGCAAGAAAGGAGATCGAGACCGTCATCGGCGCACACACCTCAACCAGGTATGAAATAGGTTGACATCTTACTCTATGAAATAATTCAACTTGAATATGATTACGATAGTGCTAATGGTTATGTAGGAAGAGCGTCCTGTCTATCCATGTCCACATTGCAAGAAACGTTTCTTGAGAAAGGACAACCAACAAAAACACTCTCGTCTATGTCTCCTCCGCGCACCAGCACCGTTATATGCGACACCGCACAATCAAGGATTTCCTCTCGAGGTTGCCGTGCATGGTATCCATCACACTGGGATTCGGACAGTTCATGCTGATGATCCATTCGAAGATAAACGATGCGAGAACGTCCAGGTACGCGATGCTGACGCTACCGTATTTGTTTATTTTTGCTTTGTCTGTGAAAATACAACCAATCTCTACGGTTGATGCAGCTATCGACGATGACAAATACGTCAACGAGTTCTGTCGGATGTCGTGATTGCCATGGACAAAATAAAGAGCAGAACAGCGATGAATCGTCATCTGCCAAAAGACGACTCACCTCTCCTGAACCATCCACGAGTTTTGCAGAGCAAATCAACGACAAAAAGTTCGTATATCTTGACGAAATTCCTCCTGATGAAACGGTAAGACGCTCTATCTCTGTTTCGCATTAAAGAGAAAGAGGAGGAAAAATTATTCACATCTTTTCCTGATATTTCAGAACCGAGCGGAATATTGTCCTCATTGCAACCGTGGTCCATTCCGTTATCACTTCAACCTGAATCAACACATCCGTGATGTTCACCTTCCACCTAGACTGCACCCAGCAAACCAGGTTGGCGGAGGTTCAGATGTTCAACAACGCATCGGACGTTTCACCCTTGAGGAAACAGC